TCCAGTTGAAGAAGCGACAGGTGCCCGACACGTGCCCCATGGTCACGATCCTCATCCTTTAGGTTAATAAGTCCACGTTTTACTCTCGTCGGCACGTTAGTATTAGATATAACTATATCTGTCACTTACAGGCGTAAGGTGAATTGAGGGAATTCTCTTCAGAGAAACCACATTGCAAGGAAGTTACAGCCACTCTAGGATCGAGGTCCCTTCATGTCCCTTCAGCTTTGATCTTTGATGTTAGAGACGCTAGTGATCAATCGAATGGGGTTCCAACACTGCTGGCTTGGAATTACACTGGTATTATCTAAAATGTCCGCCATCAAAGCTGCAATAACTCCATTACTGGTGTATTAGTGCGTAGTCATAGATTTTTTTGATCCATGCACACTAACGCCAAAGCTGTGGAGAGGGGTAAAACATTTTTTTACGAAAATTTATTCATTATTGGTATCTATTTTTGAGGATATAATGCTTCTATGACAGTAAAGCTTTAAGACTAATTATTTATTTATTTATTTTTCGTCCTAAAATAAGAGGGGGTACTTGGGATTTTTTTTAATCTATATTGAGGAGAACGATTACTTTTGCTTCGTAAATTAATTTATCGGGATCCTCGATAGCGAGCTAATAATTAAACGAGAATTAAAAAATATTATAAGTATAATATATTCAATAATTAAAGGTTTGTTTTATTAGACTCAAAGAGACAGTTGTTTTTATCAACTTGATCGAAAATCCAAAAATTGTAGTTAGCACAAAAACGGCAAACCCAATAATCCCCGATATTTGTGATTTAATCCAGATTTCAATTTTCAATTCTCCCGTCAGCAAAGTCATGAAACCTTCAACATTTTGAAGTCAGCCTCGAAATTAATAGTTCCTTCTTCTATATTCGCCATCTTCCACTAAATAATCCACATCAGTTATGTACTTTTATAAGACTTCGTCTGTGGGTGGAATCCAAGGAATACACCCTTGAAGCCAAATCGATTTTTGCCTAGGAGTCTGGACAAGGTGGGGCTCCTCGTGGAATGATAAGCTGGAGGTACTCGGGCTACGTGTTTTTGCGCGGGCTTTTATATAGTGAAGAGCTTGAGAGAGTTTGCGCGAAGATATTTTCCCGCCCTGCGTAACACGCATAGTGTAGCTTTCGGTGGAGCTTTTGGTGGGGCTTTTTGGAGGTCGTTCGATGGGATCACCATGGAGACAGACATAACCCCATACTCCCGCGGGTGGCTCTTTACCCTTCGAGATGTACAATCGTGTGGGTAAAAGGGAGAATTGTGAGAGGTATTGCTCCATGCCAGAGCGGCCAGTGGCCCAAGCCCCTATTCCTTTTCCCTACAGTTTTATATTCATCAAGGTCGTTGTTTGTCGGGCTGATCTAGGTCTAACCTCTTACACTCATTTTCTTTGTCCCTCCAGTGTTGAAGAACGACATAAGGGAGAAAAGTCGGCACGTGGCTCAACGAATTTTCATCTCCCCCTTCTCTGTTGATACTCACGGTCATTACCGCCTTCCATTTGAACTTGTAGAGGAATAAGAAACGCGTTATTGGGTTGGTTTGGTCCTTGACGCACATGAAGAAGAATGAATGTTTTTCCATTACCACAATTCACAATTCTCTCTTTTGCTTCCGAATGCATCTAATTTCAATTGCAAGTTATCAACAATATCATAAACCGGGAAAAACGATATTTTTAGATTATTAACTGTGATTAAATTCCATATTAATATGATGATGATGCGTCGTTTCAGCTCGTTTCATAATTGCTTAAGAAAAGACTAGACATTTGCTCAATTATTATTATTATTCAAGCAGAGACTTATTACTTGAGAGATCAGTAGTTGATCACAAACAAATTGATAACTGACCAAGAATCGACTAGTTGATTAGCACGGCAAATAATCAATCGCATTTCGCCTCTCAAGCCCTATATGATTATTCGCCACATTCATAAACTCTATTGTGTTAAAGTCAGATCTTTTCATGCGTACGTCCACATTTTAATGATGAAAGGTTTGTGCGCAGCTCATTGTTTGGGTATGATTTGCTCAATCTCCGCCGGCGACATTTAATAGAGTTTGCTTTGGTTGTTCAGCCAGCAAGTAGTTTGCTAGTTACCGCTTGTAAGGGGGGTGACAGTAGACTAAAACCAAACACTAAATTGTAACTTTGAATAATGGACTCCCGAAGAGCACGGCAAACATGTAAACCACATGGTCTAGGTACTCGAGGGGTATGGATCATATTCAGTGTAGAGGAGTATGCAGTGACACTGCTATTCCACCTCTCTTTTTTTTCTCATTTTCATCATTATAAACAAGACTTAATCATGTAATGATTGCCTATACCTTATCTTGCGTAACAATAACACACGATGCAGTGGATAACATTGAAGGTTGGGTAAATACATTGTTTCTGCTTTTTGTTGAGTACTGTCTTGTGTGTAATTCTTTCTGGCATTGACAACGATTTAGAATTGACTACTTAAGTCATGCTTATTGCCTCGAGGATATAGCTGAGGACGAATTTCATTGGCAGCTAGTCGGCACTAAAGTTTGCAATATTCCAAGGTATCGAATATTCATTACTTTGCAAATCACAAATTGTTGTATTCTATTCTATTATTCAGAATCAGCGTTGTTCTTATGGCATTTTTTTTAACTGGTTCATTTATAGAAAGGAAAAATCAAAATTTTATGTTGCATAACGTGGTAATGCGATTGCAGTTTCAAATGATTAAATGCTTTTGCGTGAAATTCAAAAAATCTTACTTTCATATTCTAACGTCGAAATTCAATTTGCATTCGTCACTCGGAGTGTAATTGCCCGGAATAAATTGGTTGAATACGGGTAGTGTTTCCTCGTCATCTGGTCATTAACGGCAAGCTTAATTCCACAGTTCCCACTTATTTCACTCCTACAAACGTATATTCATATTTATTTTTCTGTATTCACATGATGCTGAGGACAATGAAGAAGTCAGGAAGTTTTTCTCCTCCAGTTAACGTATTTCTTTTTATTTTCTTTTAATGTAAAAGAGTTCTGGGGATAAAAAATCACAGTTAACGAGGATACTCAGCAATGGAGAAGGGGTACGAATGATCCTTAGGGTCGGTGCATCTGTCGCGTTGTAAGTTGTCGACGAGTTCCGACATAATTTGCAAAGTTTTTCTGCGTGGTAGTCAAGGGAGGAGTTTCGAAGACGCTCAATACGATCCATAGTGAAGAAATTAGCCCTTCACCAGCTATTCGGTATCTCTCTCGTCTTCAAACATTTTAGAAATTCTTCACCGTACCCGTTGTCTTCAACTCCTCGCCATATTGAGCTATTTTCTATCCCCGCGACTAAAAGCACCGATGTCTCCACGTCCCTTGTCTCGACGTCTGTCCTATATATAATGCTGGGAGGACGGGGGGGTAGAATGGCAGAAACGATGAAAACCCCTTTTCTGTTTTGCATTTCACTCTCTCGTTACCTTTGTAATGCTAAAAAAATTTGTAAGAACTCTATCACCCTCCACTTTCACCCACTCATTGATATTCCTCCTATCTTTACAACTTTTTGCACCAACTCTCCAACTCCGTGAAGAGGTTATTTATTATTGTCATAGAAGATATGTACTGGTGGAAAGCTCTTAGAGAGGGCTTCGATTCTAATGGGAGACAACGCATGAATCGAAATCGTCTGACGGAAAAAGTTGGTGATAATACTCCTTTTGTTAAAGTCTTTCTTTTCACTGGCAAATATGAAAAATGCCTCGTTCGTTATGATCCACTTGAGTTGTATAAACTTCAGGGAACGATTGTTGAATAGTCCCCTTTTTCCATTTACTTCCGTCTTTCTCAAGTTAGGTAAAGGGTTCAGAAGGAATTTTTTTTTGAAGGAATTTTATCGAGCGATTCTAATGCCTCCAATTGCACTCTCCTTTACTCTCTTTCTCGTTTATTCTCAGTCTCAGTGGATATTATTTTCGGAACATGAGGAATGTCTATCCATTTCGTCCACTCTTCACACTTTCATGCATATTTTCTTTTATATGATACGTTATCACAGGTGATAGCGATACGCTTTTCAAGTATTAGTTATTCTGATATAGTTTCATTTATTATCTGTTAGGAAAAAAATTCGGGGTTTTGTACAAGTGTTTTTCATGGGAATGTAATTATCCATGATGTTCAATATTCTTCGAGCAGAGCTGTGCGAACAATGGTGCGTTAATTAAAATCAATTGGAATTGGCGATTTAGGCAGTAGGTGAAAAAAGGCTGGTTGATGATATTCAAAAAGGGATTGCTTGGTTTCACTACCTGTATATTTCTATCTGGTCACGGTAAGACACCCGCGGCACATTAACTCAGCTACAACCTTGGATCTTGACCACACGTGTGGGGCGATAGTAGATTTTATGTATGTGTGACTGTCAGGTAAAAGACCTATGGATTATTCTCGCTACTTAGATATTGGATCACCTAAGAATTTGATTGAAACTGTATCGTAATTTGATTTTATCTACCATCTGAATTGATAATTCTTATTCTATCTACCTAAGTCAGTTAATTTTCACTAATCGCATGAGTCCTGGCGCGAATCATTTCCCATTTTTACAGGTGATTTTTACAAAAACAAAAAACATTTTTAATATTTTCATAATAAAATTTTCATAATAAAATACTGTAAATAGATTGCAGCGTCTCACGTATATGTTGGATATATTCACAATTTATATATGCCATATCCATTGAACATATATTTAATAAATTGAATGAGTCATAGTAGAGATGATTTTTAATTGGCAATTATCTGTCGGGTTTGATAACATTCCCTTTTCAACGAAAATGCAAACACGAAGAAATTAGAAAATTATTTAACTGTCCGTACGGGGGTCACAGGTCATCAATCACCATGTCCCATAGATCCTTTTTTCTGTTGGAATGTATGTATGGGTTTCTTGAACTCGATTGGTTTCGTTACTTGTTACAAACGTTCCAGAAAAAAAAATCTCCTGTGGCCTGTCGAAGGATAATATCAGTTTGA